GTGGCTCAGCGGTTCAGTGTCTGCCTTCAGCCCAGGGCATGATCCTGGAGTCCCGGGATCAAGTCCCACACTGAACTCCCTGCATGGAGCCTGCTTGTCTCTCTGCCTATGTCCCTGCCTCTCTCTCTCTCTCTGTCTCTCATGAATAAATAAATAAAATCTTTAAAAAAATAAATAAATTGGAGGTTACAATGACCCCCTCCTTCGGTTCTATTAATAAGCTAGATGGGCTCACAGAACTTAGAAACATTTTACTCATGAGATCACAGGTTTATTATCAAAGGATGTAACTGAGGAACAGCCAGATGGAAGAGATATATAGGGCAAGGTATGTGGGAAGGGGCACAGAGCTTCCATGCTCTCTCGTAGCTACTCTCATGGTATCTCCACGTGTTTACCAAAACAAGCTCTCCGAACCCCCTCCTTTTGAGTTTTTATGGAGGCATCATTACATAGTCACGGTTGATTAAATCATTGACCATTGACAATTATTCAACCTTTAGCCCTGATCCGTCCCAGGAGGTGAGGGGAGGACAGTACTGAAAGTTTCAACCCTTCAGTCACATGATTGGTTCCCCTGGCAACCAGTCCCAATCCTTAGGTATTTTCTGAAAGTCATCTTACTGACTTAGACTCAGGTGTGGTTAAAAAAGGTTTATTATAAACAAAGCTACCTTTATCTTTCTTTCTTTCTTTCTTTTTTTTTTTTTTTAGACAGAAAGTGGGGAGGGAGGGGTAGAAGAAGAGAGAGAATCTTAAGCAGGTCCCATGCCCAGTACAGAGCCCCATGGGAGCTCAATCTTAGAACCTCAAGATCATGTCCTGAGCAGCAATCAAAAGTGGACACTTAAGTAACTGAGCCCACATGTCTATCACTCTTATCACTTAGGAAATTCCACGGGTTTTAGGAGCTCTGTACCAGAAGCAGGGAGGAAGACCAAACATATATTTCTTATTATAAAGCAGGGTATCACAGGGGACTACTAATAATTATACCACAACAACAGAGTCCAGTTACCTTCTGGACAAACTGGAACATGGTTACTTCATCCTTAGAATTTACTAGTGGAAGAGCTCTGTGGACACACCTATCAAACTACCTCCTAAGCCTTTCTTTTCCTGAGTGTAATATAGTCTAATTCCCAAATCCCAGGTCCTACACACTGATAAGATAGTCCCGCAATTATACTTGAACCCCTTGTGCCTACCACTTCCCAAACCATTCCTGGACACTGACATAATTAGACACTGTCTTGCCCACTTGGCCCAAGCAGAGACTTTAACCAGTGACTATCTCCCCACAAGGGTATCTTGGAAGGCCAGGCTCCAGTCCTCAGCCATACCTCAATGAGGAGTTTAAAATAATCATTCATGATCATGACCTTTGAATAAACTATTGAGTGCTGCATTGACCACAATTCAAGTGCCTCTCAGCAGATATGTTCCAAATAGTTCCTTTTGCAAGTGGATTTGATTTAACAAGAAGGCAGAGATTAGAGCACATTGAAAGCCACAGTCTTTCAGGTAGGCCTCTGTGAAATATACATTACTTGGGAATTATTACAGTGGTCTTCAAATATTTTCAATGACGTAATCACTAAGTTCATTTATTTAAGCCCTGTATTTTTTCTTTTTTTTTTAAGATTTTATTTATTTATTCATGAGAGACAGAGAGAGAGAGAGGCAGAGACACAGGCAGAGGGAGAAGCAGGCTCCATGCAGAGAGCCCAACATAGGACTCGATCCCGGGGCCCCAGGATCACACCCCGGGCTGAAGGTGGCGCTTACCCGCTGAGCCACCCGGGCTGCCCGAGCCCTGTGTTTTTTCATACATTTTTAAACTGATTTTTAAAAAATTTTTAAAAAGTAATCTCTATACACAACGTGGGGCTCGAACTCACCACCCCGCATGCTCTACAGACTAAGCCAGCCAGGTGCCCCTCCTTCATACATTTTAAATTGGCATATAAAAATTTTCATCAGGGCAGCCCCGGTTTGAGGATTGAGTCCCATATCAGGCTCCTGTGGAGAGCCTGTTTCTCCCTCTGCCTGTGTCTCTGCCTTTTTCTCTCTCTGTCTCTCATGAATAAATAAATAAAATCTTAAAAAAAAAAAAAGTACTTTCTGTTAAACGTGTAGAATGTATGAGATACAAGTGCTGGCTTTTTAGAATAAGAATCATGTATAAAAATGAGAAATAGCCCTGTTAGCTGTTAGATATTATCCTCAAACTTTCCTTGTGTATTTAATAAAAGAGAAAGGTACAAACTAAAAATTAATTGGCCTGGCAGCTAGCATATACTTGAATTTTTTTTTAAGATTTTATTTATTTGGCAGCCCCGGTGGCGCAGCGGTTTAGCACCGCCTGCAGCCCAGGGCGTGATCCTGGAGACCCTGGATCGAGTCCCACGTCTGGCTCTCTGCATGGAGCCTGCTTCTCCCTCTGCCTGTGTCTCTGCCCCTCTCTCTCTCTCTCTCTCTCTCTCTCTCTCTCTCTCTGTCTCTCTCTCTCTCTCTCTCTCTCTCTCGTCTCTACGAATAAATAAATACAATCTTTAAAAAAGAAAAGGATTTTATTTATTTATTCACAAGAGACACAGAGAGAGGCAGAGGGAGAAGCAGGATCCAGGCAGGGAGCCCGACGTGGGACTCCATCCCGGGTCTCCAGGATCACGCCCTGGACCAAAGGTGGCGCTAAACCGCTGAGCCACCCGGAGTCCCTAATTTTTTGTTTTTACTAGGAAATAGAAAATATTAAGCGTTTAACTGGATGAAATAAATATTTCTTATATTATTTGTAGAACAGAGTTTAATTTATGGAATCACACTACTCTTTTAAAAATTAAGTAAGCTTAAAAAAAGAATTAAGTAAGCTTTTTGGCAAAGGTCCTATAGTAGTAGTAGTCCCAGAAAACACTCAACTTACATTTAAAAGTCAGTGTCACAAGCCTGCCCTGCTTATTCACTATGAAGATGCCTTTCTTTCCAGCTAATCATGTGTCCTCAGGATGAGTATGAAGAATAGCGGAAAAGAATTGCTTATATTTAAAAAGTTCTTTATAGCCTTCATTATTTTTTTTACCAACACTTTCTTTGTTCTTTCCCCGTGGGATTCCTCCTAAAACATGATGTCTTCTAGGATTTTGATGGATTCCTGTCTCACCTTTAGGTCTTTCATCCAGTTTGAGTGTATCTTTGTGTGTGGTATGAGGAAATGGTCCAGTTCCGTTCTTCTGCATGTGGCTGTCCAATTTTCCCAAACCCATTTGTTGAAGAGACTGTCTTATTTCCATTGGATATTCTTTCCTGCTTTGTCAAAGATTAGTTGAGCATAGTTCTCTATTCTGTTTTAAGGACAACCTAATTTTAAAATGTGCATAAGGGGACGCCCGGGTGGCTCAGTCAGTTGAGCGTCCAACTCTTGACTTCAGCTCAGGTCATGATCTTGGGGTTGTGGAATCCAGCCTGGTGTCGGGCTCTGCACTGAGAGTGGAGCCTATTGAAAGTCTCTCTCCCCCTCTCCCTCTGCCCCTCCCCCCCACTTTGTCTCTCTAAGATAAATAAATCTTAAAAAATAAAAAAAATGTGCATAATATCTGAATTGATCTGAATTGTTATTTCTTCCAAGAAGATACACAGGTGACTAACAAATACATTTTAAAAATGTTAACATCATTAGTTATTAGGGAAATGCAAATAAAACCACAATGAGATGCCACTTCACACCTATTAAAATGGCTGTAATAAATGAGACAATATCAAGTTTGGCAAAGACGTGGAGGAATTAGAACCCTCATACACTGCTGGAATGTAAAATGTGCAGCCAGTGAAAAACAGTCTGAAAAACAATTACTCAGAAGGTTAAACATAGCATAACCATGTAACAGGAATTCCACTCCTAGTTATATACTTGAGAAACAAAAGCAAAATATATACAGCTATACACAAAAATATGCATGAATGTTCATAGAAGCATCATTCTGTATTATACTATACATAACGTATATACTAATAGCATATATAGCATAGTATATATTATAGTACATAAAATATATATTTAATGTATACCATATACAGTATATTAATATATATTATATAAATTAGTATATATTAGTATGTTATACTAGCCAAAAAGTAGGAACAACTCAATGTCCACCACTTGATGAATAAATAAGTAAAATAGAGTATAATCCATACAATGCAATATTATTCAACCATAAAAAAGAATGAAGTATTGGCACACTACAACGTGGATGAACCTTTAAAGCATTACGCCTGGGATCCCTGGGTGGCGCAGCGGTTTGGCACCTGCCTTTGGCCCAGGGCCCGATCCTGGAGACCCGGGATCGAATCCCACATCGGGCTCCTGGTGCATGGAGCCTGCTTCTCCCTCTGCCTGTGTCTCTGCCTCTCTCTCTCTCTCTCTCTGTGTGACTATCATAAATAAATAAAAATTAAAAAAAAAATTTAAAGCATTACGCCTATTAAGAGAAGCCAGTCGAGGACCACAATTGGTTCGATTTATAGGAAATATCCAGAATAAGCAAATCTGTAGAGGCAGAAAATAGGTGAGTGGTTTCCTAGGGCTGCAGTAACTGGACAAGATGGTTGGAAGGAAGTGGGGAGTGGCTGCTAATGAATACAGGATTTCTTTTTGAAGTGATGAAATGTTCTAAAACTGACCTAAAACTGATTGTGGTAATGGTTGCACAACTCTGCAAATATATTAAAAACCGCTGAATTGTACATTTTAAGGAGGAGCACTGTGTGGTATGTGAATATCTCAATATTCACTTGTTGAAAAAAAGTCCCATAAAAGTGTTACAGACTAAGATTTAATCTAGTTTAAGAAGTACTCCGGCCTGTCCTTAGTGAAGGGAACCGAGTTCTCTGTGACGTGATGTCTAAAGATGCTGCGGCAAAATTTACCCAAATTTTCCTCTTTGTTTCTGGGTTTTCTCCTCTCTACATGGCATATTCATTTTTCTGCGTTGTATCAGTTATCCGTTGACACCATAATCTGATGACAAACCCGCCGAAGACTTAGTCCTGCTGCTCACAAGTCTGTGGTAGCTGAGCCTTAATCGGATCTCGCATGGATCGTGGTTGAGCTCTCCCGCGGGCCGGAGGTCGGCTGGCTGTTTTCTGGATGAGGATGGTCTCTGCTGCTCTTCACTGGTCTCTCATATCCCTGCGACGGACAAGCTGGGGCAAGTTGCCACGCTGGGGCGGAGATTCAGGAGTGAATAAGCTCATTGCACAAGAGAGCGAGCAGAGATGCACAGGTGCTTTTCAAGCCCCTGCTTGTTCACACCTGCTCACGTTGGGCTGGCCTGGGTGAGTTACATGGCTGAACCCACACTTAGAGGGGGACGGGACTCCAGAGTCACAAGCAGAGGACGGGGAGACAAGGAGCCCTCAACTGGGGCCACTGGTATAATACATAGCTGTGTTTATAAGCTTTGCTCATCCGTTTAATAAATTCAACATAGTTTCTTTCATATCGTGAATTTAGTTTTGAAGTAAAGAAGTACCTCTTGAAGTAAAATTTCTTCTATTGTTACATATTATTGCAGAAGTATAAGAAATAAAATATAAAAAAATAAAATAAAATATAAACAGGTAAAATGAGCATAAGGAAATGTGGTCATTTCCCCTACCTATAGAGATGGTCTCTCCTGATGTCTATTCTTCAAGGTCCCCCTCTTTCTCTAATAAAAGTTAGCATATTCATTATAAATTGTCTTGAGAAATTAAAATTAAGTATTTAATTTTTTAATTAAATATGCACTATCTTTTCCTTGAGCTCATTTTTGTCAAAGGGCTTATTGCAAAAAACAAAAGTGTTATCAAACATCACAAAGATTTGGTTTTTTGTTTTTGTTTTATTTATTCCTGAGAGACACAGAGAGAGAGGCCTCTAGAGACACAGGCAGAGGGAGAAGCAGGCTTCATGCAGGGAGCCCGATGTGGGACTCGATCCCGGGTCTCTAGGATCACGCCCTGGGCTGAAGGCAGACCCTCAACCGCTGAGCCACCCAGGCGTCCCCGCAGTGAGAATCTGTTTGCTGCATACGTGTGTCACACACCGGAGAGTACAGAAGCTGACACACAAAGTGGAGGCTTACCAAGCTCATTCCAGTGTACTGTAATGCAACTATTAATGATGGTATGTGGTTTTAAAAAATGACACACCTGAGACAGATGCCAAATGCATGACAGCTGGGCCACAGTCAGCCTGAGCAGTGTTTCTCTAACGATAAAGCTGTAGAAATTAAGACAATTCAGTGTCGGCACAGGGACAGACATTGGCAGACCCATCGGCAGAATCAAGAGACCAGAAACCAGCCTACAGATAATGGGCGCCTGGCATATGCAGATCTGTAGGGAAAGAGTCAGTGGTCCCGAAAATCTTAGCTATCTACATGGAGAAAAGTGAACATAGATCTTTATCTCACACCCATCATAAAAATAAATTCAGAATGGACTCAAGTGTGAAGAGCAAATGTTTAAGATATTGAGAAAAAAAATGAGAAGAGCTTTATGACCTTGGGGTGGGAAAAAATTCCTTAAATGAGACCCAAAAAACAAAACTTTAAGGAGAAAAATTGATACATTTAACTATATTAAAATCAGTAATTTCTGTTCATGAAAAGACACCATAAAGAGAATAAAAAGACAAGCTACAAACTCAAGATATCTGCAACTCCTGTAATAGAGGTTTAGGGTCCAGAACATGTAAAGAATTCTTATGAGTCGATAAGAAAAAGACAACACAGGGCAGCCCGGGTGGCTCAGCGGTTTAGCACCGCTTTTGGTCCAGGGCCTGATCCTGGAGACCCGGGATCGAGTCCCACATCGGACTCCCCGCATGGAGCCTGCTTCTCCCTCTGCCTGGGTCTCTGCCTCTCTCTTTGTATCTCTCATGAATAAATAAATAAAATTTTTAAAAAGAAGACTTATTCTTAAAAAAAAAAGAAAAAAGAAAAAGACAACACAATAGAAAAATGCACAAAAGGACATGACTAAACATTTAAAAATAATAAACTGTCAGTCAACACAAAAGATGATTGACCCCATTCGTAATCAGAGGCATACAACACAAAACCATGGTAAGACATTTTATCGCAGCTATCAGATTGGCACAAAATGAGAACGTCAAGAACCGCCAAGGTGTTGATGAAGATGCAGAGCAGCTAACGGGCTCATCCACTGCTGTCGGGACTGTACACGTTTGGAAAACAGTCTGATATTTTGTGCTAAAGATGCACAAACATTACAACTCAGTGACTCAGCTCTTACGGTTATACATCCTAGAGAAACTTTGCACATAAGTATAAGAAATAAAATATAGAAAATGGAAAATGTGGAAATGATCTTAAAGTATTGTTTATAGTAACAAACAAAAACAATTGGAAGCAATCTATCGTTTATAGATTGGAGATAAGTCGTGGAATATTCATGAGCTGCAGTTACATGGATCAACATGGTTGAATATAAAGTACTACTGAACAACAACAATAAAAAAAAATCCAAAAAACAAAACCCACACACACACATCTTCCTGAAATAAATAAGTTTAATTTCATTTTTATAAAGATGCATTTCAAAAACAGCAAAATCAAGAAATATTTTTGTGAATGCCCGCATGTATAGAAATAGTTTAAAAGCGTACTTGTGAGTGGATAACAGCAGTTTCAGAATAATAGTTGCCCGTGGGGATTGGAGGAAGGAAATAGATTCAGGAAGAAATTAATAAACTGTTTCAAACTGTGTTATTACTTTATTTCTTTTTAGAAAAAAAATCTAAAACAATTATGGGAACATGTGAAGACTTGATGAAGCTGGTGGTTGGATATACATTAGTCTTACTTTTTGTTTCTATGCAATCAATTGGTAAACATAGTAAAAATGTTTTCCAAAGACAAAAACGCAAAGGGAAAAACCGCCCCTGCTGCTTCCCGGAGTGGCAGCCGACTTCTGCACCCCCTCTCCTTGCTCAGCGTAGCCCCAAACCTGACTGGGCCGGGAGGGCCCTTCTGGGATCTGCTCCCCGCCCACGAAGGCCCAAGGGTGCACTGCTCCTTGCTCCGAATTGTTCCCGAGGGAGCCAGTGGCCTTAGGGAGCCTGAGGGAGACTGGTTTTCCACCACGCTCCTTGCACGCGCCTGGCACGAAGGACGTGCCCAAGATGTGTCTGTGGAGCCAACTCAAGCCCTTGCCGGCACTTCGGTGAGCCGCTGGGGACACGAGCATAGCTGCATGATGAGGCGGCGTCCGCTGGCGCCCGTCGAGTTGCCCACCTCTGCCAGCGCTCCAGCGGACGTTCTCCGGGAAACCTGGCCCATTTGCAGAAGGCCGACAGCATGGAATTCAGAATTGTTAGGATTTGGGCTTAATTCCAGTTAAGCAGGACAATCTGGGCTCGACGCCAAAGAGAAGCAGACTCTGCTGTCTTTTCCTGCCTTTTTAATATTTCAAGGCAAGGCCTTACACCCATCCATCCATATAAAACTTTCTTGTTCAGAAAGTCATCTGAGCAACTGGCAAAGCACCATCTCAGAGTTTTCTATTTTTATCCCTGTGAGTAATCAATGGGAACGTAGAGTGACAGAAATGGAGAATTATGAATTGGTAAGAACAAACTATTGACACTTGTTTTTGTTCCTGGGCAAGCTAACAAAAGAAAATGTACCTAACGTGCAGAAGTGTAACGGACGTTTTGTAGGTCAGCCTTCCTACAAACACACCCAGTGATTTCTGTGTCTATTTTCAGGAAGGAAAAAAATACATATGCTTTCAACATTCAAATTGGTTGGGCTTGGAAAAAGTTTTCGCAGGAGCTAATTTTTTAGAAACATTAAGATATAAGATACTATCAGCCCTTTCTCCACTGAATTATTAATCTGTGAATTCATTATCTGTTTGCTGCCATCCTCTTATAATCAAAACTATTTCCTCTCCAGTTTGATAACACTATTAATTATTTTTTTAGATCTCATTTCAAGAATTATGCCTCTCTAAAAATAAGCCATTTTTATTTCCCATGGCCTTCCTTTCCAGTCTTTCTCCGTACAGAGGAATTCCTCTTACCTGGTGGAATCACAACATGCAGATTTGTCTCCTGTTTCGTTTAGGTGTATAATGCGACTTCCAAATAAAATGGCACATGAGTCTTATGACTTTGTAGTTGTACTGACAATACACTGTCACATACACATTCACACGAGACAGATAAAAAATTGTGTATTTTTAAGTAACCGGATGCGTTTTATTGTATGTAAATATTACCTCCACTTAAAAAACATTGGGGTCGGATGCCTGGATGGCTCAGTGGCTGAGCTTCTGCCTTAGGCTCAGGGTGTGACCCCAAGGTCCTGGGATCGAGTCCCACATCGGGCTCCCTGCAAGGAGCCTGCTTCTTCCTCTGCCTGTGTCTCTGCCTCTCTCTCTGTGTCTCTCAGGAATAAATAAATAAATAAAATTTTTAATTGGGGTTTTTTGTGAAGTTGACTCTTTCAGACTAGCAGTGTTCTCAAGAGAAAAGAATTATTTAGGACTTAAAGCTGAATAAAGTTGAGGTCCTTAGAATAGTCAGCCATAGAGATAGAAAGTAGAGGGGTGGTTACCGGGAGCAGGGGGTAGAAGGGGAAGGGGGAGCCATTGTTTAATGGGAGTTTCCATTTGAGAAGATGGAAAAGTTCTGAAGGTTAATGGTGTGTGATGATTGTAGGACCATGTGAATACACTCAACACCAGTGAACTGTTAAAATGGTTAAAATGGTAAATTTTATGTTTGCACATTTTACTGCAGTAAAGAATTTTTTTAAAAAAGACTATACAAAGTTGGGCACCTGGATGGCTCAGGGGTTGAGCGTCTGCCTTTGACTCAGATTGTGACCCCTGGGTCCTGGGATTGAGTCCCACATTGGGTTCCCCGTAGGGAGCCTGCTTCTCTCTCGGCCTGTGTCTCTGCCTCTCTGTGTCTCTTATGAATAAATAAATTTTTAAATCTTTAAAAAAAAAATTTTCTGACTATAAGAGAATATATGATCCTTGTAGAAAATTTAGACAATAAGAAAGTATATACAAATTTTAAATCACCCATATTCCCAACTCTAATAGGTACTTGTTAATATTTTAGTGTTATTTTTTTCCAGGCTATTTTGTATATGTAGCTGAAATGACTATGCATAAAATTTTGTGCCCTTTTTTTTCACTCAATATTATATGCCTTTAGTTATTAAAGTTTATCTGTAAATACACTTTTAAATGTCTTCAGAGTATTCTAACTTATGGCTGCATCATACTTTGTTTAATCATTCTTTTATTGTTGGACATCTAAGACCACTTACAATTTTTGTTATAAATCATGTGATCTGCTTCTTTATGTATAAGGTTTCATCTGCATTTCACATTATTATTTAGGAGATAGTTCTAGAATTAAGAATTACTAAGTAAAGATTATAAATTATTTTTAAGATACTTGGTTTATGTTGAGCTATAATTTACTTGTAAGCCATTATTTTAAGTGTTATTTGTAAATCATTAGTTGCCTATTTTTCTATTGGGAGTTACCGTCCGTATTGGTTTATATGAACTCTTTATGTGTTAGCTTGTTAACCCTTTGTCATATTTGCTCTAGCTACTTTGCAACTTGTTTCTTATTTTTTGACTTAATGATATTTTACATATCTATACTGTCAGAATTATTGAGTTT